TTCTACATTTTCCCTATTGAATTTCAAATATTCAGTAGGCGGTTCGCTATATATATATTCTGATAAACAAATTATTACACATAAATTTCCATGTAATCTTGTAAGTAAATTACCTAAGTTTTCATACTGAGAAGATAAAAAGTAATACACATATAATAAACGACAATGGTTTCAGATTTATTCTATATGTGTATGTGTCGATGTTTTCCCTTACTTACATACTTACGCCTGTTACTCCTCGTGAAGGAACATAGGCCGCTCACCAGCATTCTCCATCCAACCCTGTCCTGGACAACCCTTTCCAGCTCCTTCCAGTTCTTATTCATCCTTCACATATCTGGTTCTATTTCCCGACGTAATGTGTTCCTTGGCTATCATCTTTTCCATTTCCCTTCGGGATTCCAAGTTAGGGCTTGCCTCGTGATGCAGTTTGACGATTTGCGTAGTTTATGTCCTATCCATTTCCATCGTCTTTTCCTAATTTTTTCTTCAGCTGAGAGCTGGTTTGTTCTCTCCCAAAGCATGGTGTTACTGATGGTATCTGTTGTAACGGGTGGATTGCAGGTTAGATGCGCAGCGTATTTATCGACCGAATCAGTGACACGTAAAACACGTAAGGACGACCTAGAGTCCTGATTGGTCCCACGTCCCTGTCTAGCCCAGCCAGTTGAGTCTAGATCGCAGGTCACAGTCTCTGAGTTATGAATCATTATATTTCAAACACACTCTGTTTATATACTAATCAAGCAGACCACATCGTACCATAAAATAGAAAACAACAGCTGTACAATATTTAACGAGTGAAATAAATAATGGCCAATAGGGAATGCCCATTTAGAGTCCAAGGACATCATTAAACTTAACATGATAATGATTGGTATATTCCTCAGCATACCTAACAGTATCAGGCCAATGGATGTTAAGTATCATGCGTAGGCAGCTATATATAAATACTTGCACCTTCTTGATGATGGTTGTTGTAGTTCTCCAAGTTTCAGCTCCGTACAGTAGAACTGCCTTGACATTCATATTGACGATTCTCACTTTGATATTGGTTGAAAGTTGTTTTGAGTTCCATATGTTCTTCAACTGTAGGAATGCGACCCTTGCTTTGCCAATCCTCGCCTTTACGTCTGCATCTGAACCTCCTTGTTCATCGATGATACTTCCCAGGTATGTGAAGGATTCTACATCTTCCAGAGTTCCACCATCAAGAGTGATCGGATTGCTGTTCTCCGCTTTGAATTTGAGCATCTTGGTTTTCCCCTTGTGTATGCTGAGGCCTACTGATGCAGAGACTGCTGCTACACTACCTGTCTTTATCTGCATTTGTTCATGTGTATGCGATAGAAGAGCTAGGTCATTTGCAAAGTCCAAATCGTCTAATTGATTCTGAGCTGTCCATTGTATGCCGTGTTTTCCCTCAGATGTCGAGGTCTTCATAATCCAGTCAACCACCAGAAGAAAGAGGAAGGGAGAGAGTAAACAGCCTTGTCTGACTCTGGTCCTTACTTGGATTGTATCTGTCAGCTGTCCTCTGTGCACGATCTTACACTGTAGTCCAGCTAGTTGATCTCGAAGTTGGGCGTCTACTGCATCCTTCATCCGGTTCAGCAAAGCTCTATTAAAGACTTTTCCTAGTACTGACATTAGTGTAATGCCTCTGTAGTTTTCACATTTTCTCAGATCTCCTTTCTTTGGAATATTGATGAGGTGCCCTTCTTTCCAGTCCATCTGCACTTGTCCCTCCTGCCAAATCTTTCTGAATAGAAGGTAAAGCATGATTGTGGTTGCTTCGATGTCTGACTTCAGTGCTTCAGCTGGTATGTTGTCGGGTCCTGCTGCTTTCCCGTTCTTGATTTGTCTGACGGCCATTCTAATTTCTTCCGTCGTTGGTGGGTTGACATCTATAGGAAGATCTATGTGTGCTGCTTCGATGTACGGTGGATTCATTGGAGCCGGCCATTCAGGAGTTCCTCGAAGTATTCTACCCATCTGTTCCGCTGTTGTTGAATTTCGGTGATTGGCCTGCCTTCTTTGTCCTTGGCCGGCCTCTCTGGTTTACTGTATTTCCCTGCTAGTTTCTTCGTTGTATCGTAAAGTTGTTTCATGTTTCTTTCCCTTACAGCTTTTTCCACCGTCGTTGCTAGTTCTTCCACGTATTTCTTCTTGTCGGCTCTAATGCTTTTCTTCACTTGCTTGTTTACTTCTATGTATTCAGCTTGTGCTTGGACTTTCTCTGCTCGTGTTCGGCTGTTGTTAATTGTTTTACCACTATCTATTAATTTTGTGATGGTGAAGAAGATTTGTAGCTCACGTGGATGATTTTGATGGAGTTTTGTTTTCTGAGCTCGATGGTTTGTTCGTGGAGCTTTCATCATTCTTCTGAACGACATTATCGGCACCAACTTCAGATATAAGAAATTCGAACACTTGAATATGTGTAACTTTTTAACTCAATCACTTAAATGCATAGTGTTACTGGATTTTTTTTCCAATTCTGAACTTTCAAATGTTTATTATTGCACTAAAACACAAACTATAATGTCAGAATTCATTAACAGATACCATAAGGAATAATTTTATAATAATACAATAGCCACAGGAAAACGACAATAATAGCTGATGTATTAGATAGTGTTTCATTTCAGTATGACACTCTTCAATAGTGTTCACCCATGACCTATATTTTGTTATTTACTAGTCTGTAATAATGACCTCTGATTAAAAATATGATTCTTTTGTTTTAAATGTTTAACAAGTAAATAACTATGTGAAAATATTCTTCACCTCCCCCCCCCAAAAAAAAAATAAAGTTCATCAAAACAACTTGCTTGTTTCAACAATCAGAAATGATCTATATCACAGTGGGTAAAGAATAATACATAATTTGCAGTGAACGAACACAGGGGAAACTAGACTTATTATTATTATTTTTGAAACAAATTATACTACTATTATTACTACTATTACTACTACTACTACCACTAAACAGATACTGACTGACCAGAAGAATGTTTGGCATTTCTTATCAATGATTTTCATTATTCAATTATTTCATTATCATGATATGCAATGAACAACATACAAATGAACATATTTTATTTATTATAAACTATGAACTTCCCAGCGAGACTATAATTTATGGACGAACCAGTCAGATTTATGATAACAGGTCTTGGATTTCGGCATGAAATTCACTCATCCACTTGGCTAAATAGCGTCTTGACACTTTAGCTGATGTCAGTTCATGATAAAAACCCTAAATCTAAGCTCTATCTCTGACTATCAACTGTAAATCACAATCTTTATCCTTCACAATGATTTATATTCTTCATTTAGCTTTAGTCAGTAGGTGAACATTCTCAAGGTCACTAAGGTGTTGCTCAAATATTATCCATAAATTATATTCTTACCAAAAAGTGTTATCTGTAAGGATGGAAAATCCCTCGCTCGATCATTTCAACGTGCAGCAATCAGTAAACTTACTCTTGAGAACTAACGAACCTCATCAATATCTAGGATTCACTTTCTACACTTGTAAGAGAACATATTCTTACTTGATTAAAACTAAAGGAATATGGTTAGGAGTTCGATCCAGGACTGTCCAATCAACTGTGATCTTTCTGCTAACAGAAATGCTGATCTCTAGATATTTTTGTATCAAATACTTTATAATCTACCAATATTTCTTTGTTTTGAAATCTTTAAAAGAGTAAGAACTTGAAGATGAAGTTTGATCACCGTAATTATGTATATTTTACACAACCATGCATTGGTATTATTAACAAGATATGACTAAACATTATGTTTTCAGGACTATTAGCTCCTCAGATATTCTTACGCATTTAAACCATTAAAAGTTTATTATTATTATTGTTACCACTACTCAAATGTGGTGCACCATAAAAATAACAATTTTGATTTTCGTTTGTATCTTACAGTTTTAACCAAATCGCACTAAGATGAATATTCTATGCATTTTAATGAGGAGATACATTTATCATTAAAGACTTTCAGCCAGTTTAATTCTTGTCACATATAGATGATATTTTTATGTGTTCATAAATTACGTGCTCAATAACTAATAGATTGAAATTTTAGGTAGAAGTCGATCTAATCAAAGGTAAGATAGACGCTCATTGACGACAATGACTGATAAAGGAAGTGTAAACCACAAGTTAATCAAAGTCTTCAATAGTAAAATATTGTATTCCCATTGACTGATATGGTACTTATTTGAAGATTGAAATGATTTGATTTTGATGTCATTAAAATTTATTATTGTTCACTATTCAGGATTATTGAACTAGTGAAATAGCTGTACAATTGATTGATCACTGCACGGTAATCAATGTCATGTATGTCAGGTCGTTCTTATTGCACATCGAATACTATCGACCAAGTTGCAATGTGGCCACTAGTCTAGGTGACTCGATATTGCGTCACTATGTTGTGATAAGATGGTGGTTGGAGGCAGTCAACAACGTTACCACTGAGCTATGCGTTTCTGACTGTGAGGCCGGGTGACACGGGATCGAATCCGTCAGGGAGCGTCAGTTCCTTCAAGATCACAGGTGAACTTTGCTGACGAGTGTCAATTAGCACGAAACCTAGACCCAGGGTTTCCAGTTGACTACCTCCAACCACCATCTTAGTGGAATAACTCTCCACTTCTCTGTGTTTATAAATGCTTCTCCAAATGATTTCAGTTCATAATGAAAATTTTTTCTACACAAAAGTACTAATTACCCAATTGTTTACTCTCTACTATGCCACTTCGTCAAAGTTCAATCGAAAGGACAAAGTAGCAACTTGTTGAAATCTCAATGAGAGGGCAGAAAACGCTTGAGATTCGAGAAATCACATTTTCCAAATTAGATAAAAGACAATTAATAACACTGAACAACTTATCACTAATCCATAATTCTTATTATAACTACAGTTTAACATGGTGATTAAAATGCCTTATCTTGTTTATCATACAATTATGTACTTACTTGGAATAAAATTACAACTAATCCACAAATCACAATCATTCCACCATAGAAGCCAATTATCTGTCGTAGTTTCACCCAACAACCTTCATGAATATTTGAATTCTTAATGTTAAATTCTCCCGGACATGTTGGATCAAGAACGACAAATTTAGCATCCATTTTACAACATGGAATAGGATATTTCAAATCTATCATTGTCAAAAAGAAGTTATATCAAACAGTTAATTTCTAAAAATATCTATTTCTTCCTTACAGTTTCAATATGAAGCTATATGAATATAAGACTGAGAGTTTGCATTGCAAATTGCTTTACTGAATAATTCAGAGAACACAATTTATTCATTTTGTATTGTTTGTTTCAATCTTCCTGTAAGTGGATAACGCGATAGCATTTGAAGCAAACTGTACTGAGTTTGAGTCGTAGGGTGAACATCAACTCCATCGTGCAGGTACATCTAGCTGACCAATCCCAAATAGGACGACACGCACGTCCTGGATTCCATTGCTAGCCACCTTTCACCATGACACAATTCATTGTTTTTATATTTACCGCTCTTAGTTAACGATTTGGGGTAGTTATTTATTATAAAAATATGTATTCATAACATTTGGAATATTTTATTATTTGAAATCTAAAAATAACGTACAGGGCAATAAAATAATTTAATGTTGTCATATTAGTAGTTTACCGGAAATTTTCTAATAGCTTGAAGGGAATTTTCTGCATAAACTCACATAGGCTAGAAGGCCATTGATAAGTAGGTGTCCTAGTTTACTATTTCCCAATGTTACACACTCGTAACGCTATACAATGTTGACTCTATGACTTTATTGATTGAACTCCCGGATTTTAGCCACAATTGAGCCGTTAGACTCTGACATACATCATACTGCTTGTGAAACGAAATCTCATCATTTAGGAACATTTCAAATCATCATGTTAGTTAGGGTTTTGCATAAAACTGTCATTTACAGTAGGTCATGTAGTAATTAATCTACCTTTGTATACAGATCACTTGAACGAACCCCTTGTTAGTGAGCAATAATCACAAAAATGGACAATCATGAATTCATAATAATCTTGACTATCATAACCCAGTTGTCTAGTAGATAACAGTATGAAGTTTAAAGAAATATTTACTGAATCTCGGTTGCATTATAAATATCACCAAAGAGTTAAAAGCACACTAACTGATGGATGAGTTCAAAACAAGGTGAAACGTGCATTCAGGATTATTTATCTTTGACATAATTTACTGATACTTGATATGCATCATTCAGACTGTGGAATAACTTCTATGCCATTCATTAGTGACTTTCAACCCTAAATGCAAAAATAATCAGTCAAGGATAATTTTTTCTAAAAAGAAATCTACATAAAAATTGGGACACTTAACTTATACTTGAAGTTTACGCTGATGATGTTGTTCACAAAAATGATGAAAGCTTCATGACCAAACCATACAACTTAGAGAACAAAACTCCGTCAAACTCATCCATATGAACTACAAATCTCCACCATCCTAACATGAAATTCAGCTTATAGCCATCATTATAAAGACTTTGTTGAACAACTCAATTCCATCGTTTGAAAATCAATATATTAAACGAACGTTTATTTCAATGGTTGAGATTATGAGTCAATTGAAGCTAGACGACCATGAAAAACCTGGAAGCACTGGACGGCCGTTTCGTTCTATTGTGAGACTCCTAACTAGCAGTGTGCATCCAAGATCCCGCCTCGCGAGATTCGGACCCAGGATCTGTCAGTCTCGTGAGCGAGCGCTTATTCACTAGATGTTTATTTCAAATATAACCACAAATCTTATGTAACATATGTTTTCTAGAAATTTTTGATTTGATATTATAGACCATTAATTATGAACATACCGAAATTTTGTTCATTAAAAAGTACTTTTCTTTGAAAGTTAGGTGAATCATCAAAATCAGATCCATTCATTAATCCACAACAATTTAGCTGGAATAAGATTGTAAAAGATTACATTCTATGCTATTTAAAACTAATTTAAATACTGTTAGAATAATTGAATCATAATTACAAAGTTGATTGGTTACATCAATTGGAGTAATGTTTATACTGTTTCATTTTACAAATCAATCCATAAAAATGACTACTGATAAACTACTTATCCGTCTATCTATCTTTCATTTCCCATCACTATTACAATTTCTTGAAGATTTTTCATCATTTTTATGCACTGAATAAAATCAGTTTAAAGTTAAGAGTGAGTGCGTTGTGTGCTACTAATGTCGATAGATATAAGTAGTATGTATCATCAATTGAAACTGAAATACCTGACAGTAGAAGGTTAAGAAGACTAAAGAAAAGAGAATGAGAACAAAAAATGATTGATGTGGAAATGAAGGAACAATCAAATCACAGACTATTGATTGGTATTTTGTAAATGAAGTATTTATTGTATTGTTCTCAGATTTTACTAAGAGATTCTGTAATTTTGTATTCACATACATTTGGTTGTCCCCACTTGTGTTCTCGTTCATTACATGAGTATCTTCAATATGAATTTCATTTTGTCATAGTTATTTCATGAACTTTTTTAACTAATATGTTTTTTAAGCAAAGATGGTTGGTGACTAGCTATAGAATCCAGGACATTTATTTAGTTCTATTTAGGAGTCGTCAGTTGGATGTAGTTGCATCTCAGAAATGATGTTTATTATTAGACTTGAGCATGGTACTGTTTACTTCAAACATCATTAAGTCATCCACCTAGCTAATGAGTCCAGATAATCATTGCCTTGTGTAATGAGGTGAATTTTGAATCATAAGTATTGGTTTAAATAAAATAATAATAATAATAATATATTTGTAATATCCCAATTTTCTACTCATTGCGATATTACAAATATACTGTTTTTTTTATTTATAACAATCAACCCAATGCTCAATTTATTCGAAATTATCAAATCAAATCTTGGTAATGACACCTATAAGTATTGGTTATTTGAATCTTCCCATTGGTTTTTATGACTTCAATCACAACAGCTTTATGTTGAGCTGAATGGTTGGTTTGACGGTTAACAGAACTTACCTCTCAGCAACAGCCGATGTATTAGAAAAAATGAAGTTTATGCATCACCGAAATTTCAAACAATGAATAAATGGTCCTATCAAATCCCATAATGTTTACCGATCTACTTATATCTGCATGGACCCGCATACATTGAGAGAAGTAATAACAATAAATGGTGGTTAAGTATGTATTTGTTTACAAAACCAATACCAATGATATTTCGGTAGACAATAGATTATAAAAGTCTACTTGACAAATGTGGATATTATAGTAGTTCTTAGTTGAGATGAGTCAATTGAAGACAATGGTGGGTATGTCGCTCAATTTTGTGAATTAGCTGAAGTTAGACATTAACACCGTTGGATGTCGATCAACTCAGTGGTCTAGAGGTTAAGCACTCGCTTGCGAGACTGATATGTCCTAGGTTGGAATCTCGCGAGGCGAGATCGTGGATGCGCATTGCTGAGGAATCTCACAATAGGACGAAACGACCGACCAATGCTTACAGGTTTTCCATGGTCGTCTAACTTCACTTGACTGATGATCTCAACTAATAAAATATCTATTATCATATACATATTTATGAAGTTTGTAAACTGAACTAGAAACTGTTTACATTAGTAGAAGTAGATTACTACAAATAATTGAAGTTTAGCAGTTCAAACCTTTCAATTTGTATTTTCAATAGACTATTTACTTTAAAACCAATATACATTTAGTATTAGTAGAAACTTACAGTTGGCATAATAACTGAATATATTATACTATCAGTATTATTAGAACCAATTGAACGATAATTTCTCAGAGAGTTATGAGCAATTTTTCTAGCTAACTTGAATATCTAATTTTATAAAGTAGAAATATAAAATAATTTTAAGTTGTTAAGGTAAATGTACTAATGGCAAGACTATAATTTATGGACGAACCAATCACGTATAAGATAACAGGTCTCCAATTTTGGCGCGAAATTCATTCATCCATTTTTGGATAAATAGAGTTTCGGCATTATAGATGATGTCCGTTTGTGATGAAAACCTAAAATCTAATTCCTAACCTTAACCATCATCTGTAAATCATAATTCGAACTCCTCACACTAATTTATAACCCTCATTCGGTCCTAGTTATTAAGTGTACACTCTCAAGGTCAGTTTAGCATTGTTCAAAGGTCGTTCATAAATTATAATCTCACCATATGAAGGAAAATAATTTTTTTCCTTCTAAAAAATTTCTCCTCAGGTCCTTCAATGAAAACGGCCAAATTTAAGGAAAATACTTTGTTTTATTCATAACCCATAAGAAATCAGGATTGTTAATGAATCGGAGAATCGTCAATTTATATACTATTGATATATCTATATAATTGTACAGTTTGATAATGAATTCCTTTGAAGGAGATCGATTCGGGAAAGTTCATGTTTATTTTTAAGTGTTTGAATGGGATCTATGACAGTTGAACTTGAAGAGAATTCATGGAAAATAATATTCTTCATTCATGTATGTGTTTCAAAATAATGAAAATTCTTAGAATTTTAAAACTAGATCTGTTTATGAATACACAGCTTTTGGATTTTGCGAACTAACGTCACCTATAGCGAAGGTAAGATATCTGTTTATCAATTGAAGGACGAGTATACTATGCGATAGTTCGTTCTGTTTTACTTTACGGCAGCGAAACGTGTCCATTAAGAGCAGAAGATACTCGTAAGCTACTAGTAATTTGATCACAGATGTCTTAAAAATATTGCTGGCATCTGCTGGGATAAGCGGGTAAGTAATCGTGAGGTTAGACGCAGGGTATTAGGTGAGGTTGTAAATCTTCATCGACTGAGATGTTTGGACCACTTTTTACGTAGGCCTGAACTCCGACTACCACAACGCGCAATGCTGACTAGTGTTGGGGTTCGATGGAAGAAAGTTAGGGGCACCAGTGCTTGGAATCCCTAACTTTTAGTCTTAGCTATGTTGGTAGATGCAGACTACTTGGTTGAGATTCATCTGACTATCTTAATCTATGGTTGGAGACTGTGTGACATGGCTAAGAATCAATCACAATAGCGTAGGTGGAGGATACTCTTTGTCTTCCCTTAAACTGTGAGATTAAAATCGCTTTATATCTTTCTTTCTACCAACTAACTCTTTCTTCCTGTACTATGTCATTATATGCAATCTTTCTTTTATAAATTACTACCATTGAAGTGACTAAATTGATTAATTTGGTGTTCATCTTGTTGTGCTAATGAGCTGCGGCAACTAGGACCGATGCATATATGTGCCTGGTCCTACGTTGTAGCTGACTGACTGTTGTAAAATCATTAAAAACGATGAACCATTGAAGGCATGTTTCTTCTTACGTTCAAGCCTTTCGAAAATTAACATCCGTCACTCCATTCACACATAAGACCTCACTCGAGTTTTTCAGTTATGTGGCTTAGCTGAATCTAATGGCTGGTATTTTCAGCTTTATTTTGGGTGTTGTGGAGACTAATTCAATGTGTGGGTAATATTCTTCACAGACTGATAACAGTTGGGGTTGCCTTGGGAACCGTGGATCACTGAATGGTAATTTCATCTTACCATTGGACTACATATTAGTTATTATCCATGATATTAGATGATTGTTCGGTTATACCATGAATTAACTGCAGAATAATTACGACTTTCTTATTTGCTATACGTTTGACGTGTAATACTGAAAGAGGAGTTATGATAATGCCAAAATCTAAACGATTGATATCCTGACTACATTTCTAGTGTAGTATTTAATGAATCAAGTTCGGAAACACTATTTAATTATCAATATAGGGTTATGGAGATAATTAAGTTTCACTGAGATTATGAACCGAATAGCATCCGAACAACATTGAGAACCTGGAAGCACTGGACGGCCGTTTCGACCTAGTATGGCACTCCATCAAGAAGTCGTGACCAGTGAACTCTAATCCGTGTCGGGTGGGAGGCAGTTACTCACCGAATATGGTCGATCAATATCGTGAGCTGATTGAGGTTAGACATTAACACTGTTGTATCCCGACTCAGTGGTCTACAAGTTAAGCATTCGAGCGCAAGAATGATGATTCTGTGTTCGATTACCTTTGGTGGTTTTTTGTAGATGCTCACTTCTGAGGAGTGACATATTAGAACGAGACGGCCATCTAATGCTTTCAAGTTTTCAACGATGTTGGAATGTTTATCGGTTCATGATTTCAATGGAACTTATTTGGTCAGTTGATTCATTAAGAGTTATACCACGTGAGCTTGTTTTTTTTAAATTCGATCACAGAATATCATCAAAACTAGTATCTAATGAAAGCAAGTTTAGAGAAGTCTCTTTACTGATAAATGATTTTGAAGTTCTAGTTGCATTAGTACTAAATTCAGACTAAATGTATCATTCTGTTAATTAGTGTCATTAGTGATAATGTGTTTTATGTCTGATTAAGTGGACATAAGTGAATTCCCAATGCTAATGTTTTATAACAAAATTGACATTAAATTCTACTATATCAATAAACACTAGAGTGTTGCTTTCTCAGCTACCTAATTATGTCAGGTATTATTTGTATAGATGACTTAATATTAAATAGAAGATTGTGTTTCCTAGTTCTTGATATTCAGGACTGAATTCTCTTATCGTTTTCCATATAAAATACAAAGATATAATCAGTTTGTCTTTCTAGGTATGCTTGAAGTATTTAAGTATTTCGCATTAGTTTAATGAATGAACATTAAGTAAAGTTGAACTTACTGATTCACGATCGGTGTAATAAAAACTCATTGCAGTAGTCTCAATAATGACCAGTACCAAAAGTAACCCAATGTACTATAAAATAAAAAAACATAATTATCTTTTATTAAAATATCCGAATTTGAATAATCATATTTTTAATGAAAGTTTTAAGATCAATCTTTTGTGAATATTTCAAGAATGGGATCTTGGATATTTTATTTGTTAGACAATTTGTGATCTGTATGGTCAATTACATCTGAAGTCTGTAGTGGCTTAGTTTCTTTAATCGACCACCTCGATAACCGTTATTATATGAATCTCATTGGTGTTTAAAATCAGAAGGCAATAAGAACAGGCAATTACAGTTTAATAGCGGATAACAAAGCTACAAACAAATCGAGCGAATATGAAGCAGAGAGGCGAATTTATAGTCTAATCGAATAAGGCACAGCTAACCAAGGCAAAGGTTAATAATAGGTTTCGAGTACATATATACATGGGGAAAAGGATGAAACAACGAGTGATATTTAAGCCATCAACATTTTAGCTAGAATCTGTCACGTCACCATGCGTACACGTTCCTACAAACAGTACATATAGTGATCATAACAGTACAAAGAAATATGCGAATTGTTACTATTTGAATAACATTGTCGGTTAAGTTAGTTAATCGAAGGGCTTAATAAAACTAAACCATAATTGAAAGTGATTAACTATAACACTGATTGAGGAGTGTGCATTAACATAAATTGAAAGGTGAAAAAAACATGCTGTCTACTGAACCATGATTCATTAAATTTATGAGTTATTGTTACGTCCCAATAAGGATAAGGAATGGGAACTTTTGGGATCCATTTGTGTACCAATACTATACGTATTTTTTATCGTATAATTGGCAAATAACTAAATTATTCCTCGTATTATGGGCTTTATTTTGACCTATTTATTTTGAACTATTATTATACGACTTACCATTCTTGAATTATGCCCTGGGAGCACCAGTTCCTTCAAGATTACAGGTACACCTTGCTGACAAGTGTCAACTAACACGAAATTCGGGTCCAGGGTTCCCTGTCGACTACCTCCAACCACTATCTAATATCACAATAGTGCACGCGATGTCGAGTCACCTAGGCTGGTGGCCACATTGCAACATGGTCAATAGCATTCGATCTGCACTAATAAGGACTAGACACGCAATCAATTGTGATTACATCTCAGTCCTACAGGAGGTCGGTCGCGGCTATAATAGCTCAGTAGTAACGTCTCTGACTGTGAAGCTGGGTGAAACGAGATCGAATCCGTCAGGGCGCACCAGTTGCCTCAAGTTTGCAGATACACTTTGCTGACACGTGCCAAGTATCACTAAACCGGGGTCTAGGGTTTCCTGTCGACTACCTCCAACCACCATCTAACCTGTCTGCTAATTACTACCTCCCTCATTCACAGCCACATTTAGCTAAATCTTGTACAAATGTTGTTTCATATTTTATGGTACGGTGTGGTCTATCTGGTTGGTATAAAAACCCAGTATGCTTGAAATAAATGATTCATATTGCAGAGGCTGAGATTAATGTTCTGGACTTAACTGGCTGGGATAGGCACGAAGCAGGACCAATAAGTACTCTAGACTGCTCTTACGGGTTTTATGCGTCGTTGTTCCGATCTATAATTCCCTGCTCTCTAATTAGCAGTAGGATTATGTTTACATTAACAGGGCACACAGGCCACAAGTTATAAAAGTTATTTAGTCCGGAGTTGGATTACATGTATATGGTAATGTATGAACTTGAGAAGTTTCAAGTCAGATAGAGCTACTCAGTACTTTATTAGTTTCCAATAATCTTTGCAGTTATTGTTAATTCGTTCAATAATTAAAGTAATTAAAATGTTATTTATCAATGTATTTTCCAAGAGAAACTTCTCAAATTAGAAAAGCTCTTATTAACGAAGGGTATTTAATGAACAGCTTGAACTATACTTAAAATGCGTGGAAATAGAGTTTTCTGAAGGAAAACATCTTTAGCCATTCCTTTTTAACATTAAGTTCATAGTATATGAATTAATTTAATTCTACCGATTACGTTGTCCAGAAAGAACATGAAAATTTCATGATTAAATCATCCAGATCAGAAAATCAAACACATAGACAATGAAAATACCATTAGACAGGCTCTTGTAAACTTACCGCTAGTTCACCTCCTATACGGCATGAAATAACTCCGAATTCGATTCCTAGCTGAACACTATACATTAATTTAATGATAATCCATTTTTACGGTATTAATTTTTTCTCAAGAAAGAGTCTATTTAACACTGTGATACTTATTGTTTTTCCATACACTCTCTTAGTATACACTTAAAGGTTTAATGTAATTAATTCCCTTTATGAATTTAAATAAAGCCGAAACAAACATTGATGCAGAATAATATAAATTCTCAATATAAAGGTTGTGGAGATTATTAACTTTTTGACTGTGATCATGAACCAATTGATGTTAGATCACCATTGAAAACTTGGAAGCACTGAACGGCCGTTCCGTCCTATTGTAGGACACCTCAGCAGCAAGCATCCACGGTCCCGCCCGCGGGATTCGAACTCAGGGCCTTCAGTCTCGCGCGCGAACACCTAACTTGCTGGACCACTGAACCGGCATCTAATGGTGTTAGTGTCTAACATCAACCGATTCATGACCTCAATCAAAAACTTAATATCAATTCATTATATTTCGTGGTCATTTAGTGTTAGAATCAAGGAAACATTAAGGATGGGTGATGTAATAGTTGAGTGAAGTTTAGGGACATAAGATAAATTATGTGAAAATTTGAGAGGTAATGAAGGGTTTACATAAGATTAATAGAATTAAAAAAATTGTGGAGATGGGTTACGTAACAAATGAATAGGATTTGAAGGGTTCACATAATTTAAGAGAATCAAGTGAGTGAAAATGTATGAGTGAAGCGTTGGTTTGAGAATTCGGTAATAGAAGAGAAATATAACAAAATAAAACTATTGACAAAAAATTGAATTACCAGGGTAATAATTCCATGAATCGTATGTAAGCCCTTCATTATCACTCAAATTTTCACATAATTCATCTTATGTCTTTAAACTTCACTCAACTATTACATCACTCATCACTAATGTTTCCTTGATCCTAACACTAAATAACCATGAAATATAATGAATTCATATTATTCTGCATCAATGTTCGTTCTGGCTTTATACTAACTTACAGCTCTACCTGTAATGATTATTGTGGCTCATAACTTTATTCTAAATAGAAGTTTATTGATAGAAATTGACAACTCATATGAAATATTAGTGGATTAACATATCCAATTACTTCACTTAATCACTTACCGCATGTTATGAGTGGATTAAAGTCTAACAACTAAAAATATAAGTATCATCGTCAAATTTGTCATTCACTAAATAATAAGTAAAATATTGAACTAATATTACATTTAGCGATAAAAGTGTTTGGCTTAAAATGAAGTAGATAATTATATAGTGAGAGGCCGTGATCAGTGGAGCTCAATCGGGTCTGTTGTAAGGTAGTAACTCACTGATGACAATGGCGGACTGTGGCGCAATTCCGTAAATTGGTTGGTGTTAGACATTAACACCGTTGGATGTCGGCTCAATGATCTAGAGGTTATGCATTCGCACGCGAAACGGGACGGAATCGCCGGTGCGCACTGCTGAGAAGTCCCATGCTAGGATGAAACGGCCGTCCAGTGCTCCCAGGTTTTCCATGGTTATCTAGCTTCAGTTAACTCATGAATTTAATTGTTACATTACTACAATCTCCACAAAACCTCTCTTTGATTAAAATAATTCTTTCTTCTTACTGTCTAATTCAAGTAAGTTGTTGAAATATTAGATGTATTTAGTTACACATTTCGTATCTGTGCAGTTGGTTAGTTATGTGGTGTATGGTACTTATGTTGACAGATATAAGTAGTATGTAACACCAATTAGAAGTCGAATGCCTGGCAATAGAAGGTTCAGAAGATCGAATTGAAGAGAACACAAATGTAAACAGATAGTACTTGTGATAAGAACAGGAATGAAATAATGATGACGTTTTTAACAGACAACTGATGGAAGATATACTAATGACGTATTTAATGTATGGTTTTCAGATTTCACTAAGACACTACAATTTTGCATTAAATGATAAGTTGATCTTCCTCATCAAAGTTCTCGTTCATAACAGTTTTAGGTTAGTGCGATTTTCATCATTAAGATCTAAAGACAAAAGAATAATTCATAACAGTAAAGCACTGAATGTCTGTATTGTCCTAATCTACAATTACCAGTGGTAGTAACCATCAATGCTTTAAAAGAATGTTGATTAAAGAAAGTTCAAGTCTAAATCGTTAAATATGAACTAATTATAAATGGTGATGTTTCACATTGTATGTTTATTTGTTAAAAAATATTTTAATTACTTCGTTTAGAAAGTTTAAACCTCAAGTAACATTCACATAGCTTAACGTATGTCATCTTTTCTCTACGATTATCTACGACTTTCAATAAAATGTATCACCAGAATATACTTCCTCCAAATTTGTATAATCTCACCATAGTACTAATAAGTAACAAATAGATTTTCACAACATTTCCATATTCACACCTTATTTTTTTCAGTATGGGGAGTTGTGGAGATTGTAATATCTTAACAGTTCAATTCATGAGTCGATCTAAGCTGGAACACCACTGAAAACCTGGAAGCACTGGACGGCTGTTTCAACCCAGCACAACCACGCATGTGGAGCTCGAACCCAGGACCTTCGATGTTATGTGCAAACGATTTACCTTTAGACCGTTGGGCTGGCATCCAGTTTTCTGAGGTGGATAACTGTTATTTTTATTCATTCGATCACTTTCAACTTGTTTTTTATTTTACTCTAACCGTTTGTTGTTGATTTCATGACTTTAAAAGTAGTATATGACGCTAGTCAGGAATGTAATGTCTGGCAGCGAAAGATGGAGAAGATCACGCATGGAAGAGCGGGAATAGAAATGCAAGAACAATGAGGTTCGAGACAATTATTGAACATTTTGCAAATTAAGTATTATAGTATGGTTTTTCTATTTTACCAAGTAACTCTGTAATTCTGTGCTAAATATAATAACACTCGTGTTCTCCTTCACTACAGTACCACTATAAGTGACCTTACACTCCTGGATACCAAGAAAGTCTTTTGGTATTTATTGATCATCATTTGTGTTTACTTAAATGAAACGGATTACTTGTAATTCCAGCTTTGATTGTTTTGTAAGATTTTAAATTCTGAAAGTTTTCTATAATCTATATTTGAAATGATGACTTATGCTTGAAAGAATTTCGGTCAGAATTCAATTATTTTCATATAACAAACAATAGAATTATTTTTCAAATAATTAATTTCAAACATACCACTCTAAGGCAAAGAATACTCTTACAACATGCTCCACAAAAACCGAATAAACAAATAGCCAAGGAAACTAATCCTAATATGAATAAAAGGAAACCGAATGGACCTGGAAATGTTCGAAAAAAATTGGAAACATCATGAAAGATAAGTTTTCATTGATAAAATAATCTGTGAAAAAAAATTTTTAAGAACATTAGTTAGTTTTTATATTTTAATTCAGCTAATTTTGGTGACCAACCATTTAGATATGAGAAATACACAAATGAATGTAAGTCAATAACATGTATTTGTACATGTACATAAGGAGGTATCCTAGTTACCCATTCATCATTTGAATTGTTTTAGATAACTTTGTTGTATGACCACGTTGAATGCGAAAAAAATTCGCTCAAAACTTAGCACATAAATTAGTACTTGATGAAGGAGCGATATTGTGGTGTGGGTTAATTAATCCATATAAGTAGTATATAACGGTGGTCAGGCACAGAATATATTTCAGTAGAAGATCGATAAGGAAGGACGGAAACGGAACGCATTTCGTATGAAAATGCATGAGCAATGAAATGTGAGCCAATAGACTGATATTTGCAAAAGGAACAGTGAAGTTTGAGACGATGGATTGATAGTTTGCAAATTAACGATTTACTATATGACTCTCAGATTTTATTGAGATGATTTGCAATGTCGTATCAAATACAATTGATTGTCCCCACTCGTGTTCTCGTTCGCCACAATATTACTACTTCATATTACTGTCCATATATGCTAGACTACATGCTACATTTATATTTAGTTGATTCATCATAATTTATGCTCGTCCGTACCATAGTTTTTAAAACTTAATGATTGATTCACTTGGTGTTATTTTACTTGTATCTTCTCATTGTTATTTAGGATTGCAATTGATCAGTGTAGGAAGCAACTTCCTACAGGTGTAACTCTAAGCTATCCTCTAGACTCTCGAGCACAGAGTCTTGGTTTAGCCAAAGTCAGAACAAGTAAGCTATTTGGTTTGATAAACTTTATCTGTTTCTAAAACATAAATTAACACCGTTAGTATACAAAACAAACAGTACAGTCTATCAACACAGGGAAAAACAGAGACATAAATAACATACCGAACAGTAACTAAAGGATAGGAAAAATGAGTCATCAAGACAAATATTGTTTTATAATGAACATAAAATTGTGATTGGTGAATAAACAAGATATAGTCATACAAAGTCAAAGAAAGTTAATGTGATAGTGGGCGTTTCACTTAATCATTGGTGAGTTCGTTTATCGATCAAACTTTACAATCAGTCTCATGTTGGCATATGTGCATCCTGTGAGGATGGCCTCGATATAGCCTTAAGTCACAAGCATTTTAAGCAAAGATGGATAGTGGCTAGCAGTGGAATCTAATACGCGCGTTTCGTCCTATTTGAAACTCGTCAGCTGGATGTATCTGCATCTCAGAGTCGATGTTCACTCTGTGTTGTAACGGGTGGACTGCACGGTTAGATGGAACAGCGTTTTACCGATCGATTACAGTGCACACGTAAACACGTATGGACGACCTAGTGCCCTGATTGGTCCCGGTTCGCTGTCTGTCCCAACCAGTTGAGTCTAGAACGCAAGTCACAGCCTCTGAGTTATGAATCATTGTATTTCAGACATACTCTATTTATATACCAAACAAACAAACCACATCGTACCATAAAATAGAAAACAACATTTACACAATATGTAACGAATGAATTACATAGTAGCCAATAGGGATGTGCATTTAAAGTCCAAGGCCACTATAGACTTAACACGATAATCATTGGTATATTTTACCGACTATCCTAACACTCTGGGACTCGAATCCAGTACCGTTTGCTTCAAACGCCATCACGCTATCCTCTTAGCTACTGAGTCCTGATAGCCACTTGCTTGTACAATGGGGCGAAGTTTGAATTTACTTGGTGTTGTTTTACTTGTACCTTCTCATTGTTATTTAGGACTGCAATTGATCAGTCTCATGTTTGCATACGTGCACCCTGTGCGGATTGCTTCGATATAGCCCTAAGTCACAAACTCTTTAATGATTGATTTCTGAGTTTCAAGGACGATCGACCATTATTTAATGATACGGTGTAATGTCCGTTTGTTAGTTTTTCTTTAAAACTGTCAATGAAAAATTCAAAACTTTTCCAATTAAACGGGTTTAGTGAAATCACCAGAAATATTTATTCGTTTGTCAGTGGACATGATTGAACATATTTATTTCATACATGTTCTCCTTTAATTAATGACGAAACTGGTGAACAGTCAAAAGCTATAGACCATACAAAATGAAGTGAATTCCCTTCAACCATTTACAATGTTTACTATTCGTGCTTCAAAATTAACTTTTGTTGTAACATTCACTTCTTAAAGATGGATATATTTATATTTGAAAACAAGCATATTTAAACTATTATTTTGTCTACTGAGTTTATCCTAAAATGTAGTTATCCGATTAACAGCAGATTGTACTATAAATATTAGTAATGATATAGATTAGATGGATTGTGGTTAGTATTGAAATTCAGGATACGTGTTCCATCATATTTTGGTTTTGCCAGATAGATAATACATCTTCAAACCAGTGCTCATGCATACACCAGGACTTTAATGTACCACATTACGATCCGAATACTCAACGCGTTATCCACTGAGCTATTGAATTCTGATAGATACTAGCTTGTGTATCTAAGTGTGAATTTGATCTAATTTGTGATGGTCTAGATTATTCTGTTGTTAAGATTCTTGACTAAACTTCGATTAGTCTTAATATGAAATATGTACATCCTCTGAAGATTACTTTGACCTAGAGATTATCCCACCATTAGTAAAAATCTATCAACTATGTTCACATTAGAAATAGTAATAACAAAGGGAATTAAAAGGAAAATAATTCAACAATGAACAACTTACAAACGGGCAATTATTTTACTTTTCCCTCATTCTTAATATTCCCCTTTAAATTTCAGTACTAAACCTTTATAGATTTATTCATAGTAAATTAAGAACATATAAATGTTATATTATCAAGTTAGATGTTATGCTTCAATACGGTCTCGCGGCGAGACTATAATTTATGGACGACCTTTGAACGACTCTTAGGTAATGAAGAGGGTGGATACACTTCTTATACGTGGTTCAAAAACTTGTCAAGGTTAGAAAGAGATTCAGAGGTTCTAAAGTCGTAGAGAAACTCATCCATATGGCTACAGAATAGCTGGCCTCTGGAGCCATGATAAAGTCTCAAAACTCTTTCAGCTTCGATCACATAGCTTCAATATTGTCTGTGTGCACTCCAGTTGTTGAGTACACAAAATGCCACTTGTGGATAACGACAGGATGCACATAACCAAGCCTATGTAGGAGTCTATATTCTCTCTCTCTCTCTGTACGCCCATCCGTATATATTGTAGTACCTGGCCGCACCCAGTGTTACTAGTGCTTTAATTATCCGGTTCGCGATAATTGTCGTAATTCGCCTTAGTTAGGAATCACATATGGGGTTTTCATCACGAACTGACATCAGCTTTAATACCAGAGATTTATTTAGCCAAATGGATGAATAACTTTCGCGTTAAAATCCGAGACCTGTTATCTTATACCTGATCGATTTGTCCACAAATTATAGTCTCGCCGTTTTATTTGTTATAGCCGCTCAATTATCAAAATTCCTGTGAACCGATTGTACATTAGCATTAAGCACTGAAGTTGGCGCCGTGACCTTAAAATCTCTCAAACACTTCTGATTGGCTCGTCCATAAATTAGTCTCCCCTGGTCTTGCTAATAACAATTGACGACGACCATATACCTCAAGTATTCAATTACTATAAACGTCTAACTTATACAAAAACAAAAAAACGGAAAAATAAAACACAGAGTGTATACATTACTTGTTAATTGTAAGATACCAGATGCCATATCTGTGAAATCTTGCGCTACTTCTTCACCATACATTTTCTTAATCATTGGACCAATTACATCATCCAATTCTCTTGTTATAGTATCTCTGCCCCAAGTTAAAATTGCACCAAACGATGAAACTATTAATGCTGATAGCTAAGTATATTTAAAGAAAATAAATTATGAGTTGACACATATATATACCAATTTACTGGTACAATTAGGTTGACACAAAGAGAGGTAACCCTTAGGGGAATTAAGGATACATAAATTTTTTTCAAAAACTATGATTCTTATTTCTTGATCGATCCTTACGATAAATATTAAGTGGTCGCCAGTTAGATGTTAGCAGTTCAGGAATCGACATTTGATTAATGTTCACTCATTTCAATGCATATTACCAGCAACCACGATATCTCTGATTAGGCTTTTTTTTAACTTGTACAACGAAAGGTTGTACATTTTTCAGAAACACACCTGAATAGGTTATGCGATTAATAGCTATAATGATGTATTAAAACAAAATTAGATAACTTATTGAAATATCTAGATGGCAGGAACAGGTAGCACTGATGTTCAAGCAGGCTGCCACATAATATATTACGTATATCAAACAGTTTAGTTGGAAGTTACTATGATTACACAGCAAAGATTCAAATAAATTTAATAGACTGAATAAAATATATCTTATACGAAAGAACGTTCTACAACATCGGTAATGACAAAAAATCAAAGGGCTAGAAACAAATGATTACGTAATATAAAAAACGTTGATAATAAATAAGAATAATGTAAGCGATGCTCCATTAGTTACAATAAAGTTACTAATCTAGAAAATGATTATAATCAAAGGATACAATAACGTAATTAGGCGAAAGAAAGAGTTGAATAAAATTTTATGACGTAATGTAGACATGATTGTGTCATCAATGCAAAAGAGATAAACAACTATCTCCTTTAGAACATAAAAATCATATTAATATAGCCTGATAACGATAGCTTCAGAAAACTGGAAATTGACTATTTATTAGTCAAAATGATTACAGAATATAATGAAATCATTGTACTCTATGACCTCTTTTTAGCAACTCATATGCTAACAACTTTAGTCGATTCAAATGTCAACTGCATAAGCTTATTCACATCTACTTACTTACTTACTCCTGTTACTCCTAATGGAGTATAGGCCGCCGACCAGCATTCTCCAACACACTCTGGCCTGGGCCTTCCTTTCTAGTTCCATGAAATTCTTGTTTATTTTACTCATGTCTATCTCCATTTCCCGGCTTAATGTGTTCTTTGATCTTACTCTCCTCCTCCTTAGGCCTTGAGGATTCCATGTGAGGGCTTGTCTCGTGACGCAGTTCACTGCTTTCCTCAATGTGTGTCCTATCCACTTCCAGTGCTTCTTCTTGATTTCCTCCTCCACTGGGATCTGATTTGTTCTCTCCCACAGTAGGTTGTTGTTGATAGTGTCTGGTAAACGGATCAGAAGTATTTTGTGTAGACAACTGTTGATAAACACCTGTATTTTCTGGATGATGGCTTTCGTAGTTCTCGAGGTTTCCGCCCCATACAATAGAACTGTCTTGACATTTGTATTGACCTTGATGTTGGTTGACAGTTGTTTTAAGTTCCAGATGTTCCTCAGTTGTAAATGTGCTGCTCTTGCTTTGCCGATCCGCTGCGCATGGAGCCCCTCTGGGGGCTACTGCCGGTGTCAAGCCTGGATAATCGAGGAGGATTGGGCATGAGGTTGATGACCCATCCCATAGAAAACTAACTGGCTAAAAAAAACGCTGACCAGAAAGATAAATATTCACATCTACATACTAGCTAATTTTTCCTCTAATAAAGTATCTTCTAATATTTCTTTAATAAAACTCTTTTTTTCATTCAATATACACAATATATAATAAAACTTAAGGATAAAATAAGAAATAGAATAAGAAGAACTGTTCACTTACTCCAACTAAGGAATTTATCAATAATAATGTTAGCCTCAATACAACAGTACACATTTTCTATTGTTTTATACTAATCCGTAATGAACTGATACACTAAAATGAAGTTTATAAATAATGACATTAAAATAAATTTTGAAACTTCATAGGTATTTCTATTATGTACAGGCATCAACTACTTGATCCTTTAAAAAACAAAAGAAATCAAAATTCTTTGATTACAATCAAAGTGTAAATCTTTGTCTTTTAACTCAGTACTTACCACTAGACTTAAAGGTACTCAATCCAATAACGTATAAATATGAGTGTTAATGTATGTGAATGTTTTAGGAGTAAGAAAATAAGGTGAAAATGATGCATAATTTTTGGTATTATTATTTATTTAAACACATAAAAATCAGTGCAAGGAGGCACCAAATATATATGCACCACACTTCGTCATTACATTTGTTTCAAGCCTGGAGTACTGCTCAGGTGTCAACAACGAAACAGGTGGTTTTCTTAGGAGGTCACACACCAAACTCTTGACCTGAAGGTCTAATCCATAGACAGTGAAGGAGCGTTACGGGGCTAAGTTCCATGGTAACCGCTGATTAACAATAGTTTCATACGCCATTTTCTCCCTCATGATTCTGGAGCTCATATACACCATTGGTTTGGAATCAGGGTTTTCCAACCCTCTTCTTCTCTCTCTCTCTCAAAAGGAAAATACTATCTGGTTGATTAGTTATGCAACATAATGTTAGCCAGTACTGGATAGAATATATAGTGTCCGTTAGTAAGAGATGTATTTAAATGTAGTAGACAATCTGTAACATTGATAGAGTAATACTGTAACGTTTAATCTATTTGAATACTAGGCATTTGGGAACAAATAATGGTTATCAACAAACTTCACTTCCATATCATTTGGATGACAGAATAAGAATATTCGATAGAATATATATATATATATATATATATATATATATATATATATATATATATATATATATATATATATATATATATATATATATATATATATATAGGCAGCAGTGCTAATCCACGAGCTCGCACGTAGGATTAGAACCCAGGATCTTCGAGCGCAAACGCCTAACCTCTAGACCACTGACCCAGCCGACATTCAACGGTGTTAATGGCTAACATCAATCAATCCACGAAATTGTGCAACCATCTTCCATTGTACTGAGGTAGATACCTGTCTCTACCCGACACGGATTAACTCCACTGATCATGGCTTCTCACTAGAACTCCAGGAATTCTCTCACGAAGCTAGTCACTAGTCAGCACGTAGTGGTTATCCGTATGGGGCTGTGGAGATTATTAAGTTTTTGATTACGACCGAAGATCCTGGTTTCGAATCCCGAGGGCGAGATCGTGGATGGACACTGCGGAGGAGTTTCACAATAGGACGAAACAGCCGTCCATTGGTTCCAGCTTTTGAAAGGTGGTCTAACACCAAACGACTCATGATCTCAATTAAAAACTTAATAATCTCCACAACCCCATACTAATAATCATCATAATTCTTCATTTAGTTATACGCTTAGTATTTCTTTTCTACCAGACAGTGAAACTTAATAAAAGTAGCTGAATTAGAAATATATACCCGGTTATGATCAGCATAGAAAAAATATATCGCAATTCACTAAAGTAACAACACAGATTTAATGACAGATACTTATATAGAAATATATTCTCTATTTTAGTAAAATGACATGATGGTAAATAAGAACTTTCGTCTAAATTTGATCAAACAGTTCCACAATATTTGGGCGCCGAGTTAATGTGAGACATTAAAGAGGAAGAATGTATTTTTAAAATCTCAGCGAATGAATTTGAAGTAAATCTAACTTTTGCCGTAGCAATCTGGTCCAAGCTTTTTCAAGGAAAATATAATTAAACATCAAAATTATCGAATATAAATAGGTACATGGTTCTCCGGTTTACTGTGTACTGAATAAGTCATCTAATCATCGTTAACAATATTTAAAGTAAATATTTACATTAGTGTGTAAGATACATGTGGTATGAAACGAAAAGTGTTATGATAACAGCTTGTGTGTATACGTAAGTGAGAAGAAGAAATTTCGTTCACTATATACTGGTAATAATTATTAATTTAAAAGATATTCATTATTCGTTTAAAGATCCACATCATATTAAAAGACTAATACATTGAACGAAGAATATTCTTTTCGATAAATTCTATTCAGGTTCTAATATTCAATATATCCGAATTTATAATCCGAAAAATGGTCAGGTTAAGGGGAAAGTACATCGTTTAAAGTATGCGAATTTAGGATTGTTAAACAAAATGTAATAAATTCACTTAGTATTGTTTTATTTGTATCTTCCCATTGTTATTTAGGACTGCAATTGTTCAGTCTTTTGTTGGCATATGTGAATATAACTTCACCCCATTGCACAAGCAAGTGGCTATCAGGACTCAGTAGCTAAGTTAATAGCGCGATTGCGTTTGAAGCGAACGGTACTGGGTTCGAGTCCCGGAGTGAATATAAACTCTGAGATGCAGGTACATGCAGCTGACGTCCCAAATATGACTTATATACAATGTTAATTTGAATCTGCATATATGTTAAGTGAAAATGTTAAGATCCATGGTCAGAATAAATATGGGTCAGGTGGGATGAGAGAAATAATAGTGCAATTACAGTTCAGTCAAATGTTTAGTGGACGGATATATTGTGTGAAAAACTAGTAAGGTGTAATAAGGAGGGATGAATGCGAAGTGAATGAATCATGTATAGGGAAGATTAATAATAATGTTTAACCAATAGTAATAATAATAATAATAATAATAATAATAATAATAATAATAATACAAATATTTGTGGAGAAATAACAGAGACAATTACATTTGACTACGAAAGATCGTATGTCAAATTAGGTCATTCAGTTGCTAAGATTACTATTGATTAAACGATGTACTTTACCCTTAACTCGACCATTTATAGAATTATTAATTTGGATACACGAATTGTAGAACCTGAAGGGGATTTATCAAAAAAGAATATTCTTCGTTCAATATATTAGTAATTTCAATAGTTGAGATCATAGGTCAACTGAAGCTAGACTACCATGGGAAATCTGGAAGCATTGGACGGCCGTTTCGTCCTATTGTGGGACTACCCAGCAGCGCGCATCCACGACCCTGCTTTAGAATTTTAGGAACTCTATTACTCTACCTTGTTTTTTTATCATAATCAAAAAGATCTTTAACATGTCATTTTACAATGTAACAACAATTAGTACTGACTTTTATCAAAATAGATTTTTCGGTACATAATAATTTATCATGTCAACGACAGAATGCATTTATATTTGAAGTTTACTGAAGATTGTTTACTGATACCTATACGATCTTCTTAATGTCACATAGTTTGTTTTTTTTTCAAACTTTTAGAAATGTGTGTATTTGTTCCAGGAGAATAAAATTTTCTATTATGACAGTAGACTTTTTGTTAACATGTTTCCACCTAGTTATACTGTTACATTCCCTTTCAACTTTTTTAATCATATCCAGGTAATAGAGATCTTTTTAGTTTTACTTGTATCATGATTGATCAAGTTTTGGTATTCAGAATTTTAATTAATCTACACTTTACTTGTTATAATGATTAAAATCCATCTAAATATAATGTCATACTTAAATTTGCCTGAAATTTTTAAGGTTGTCTTGAGTGAAGATGTATTGTCAGCATCATTCAGTTTATCGGTTCTAGATTGTATTCCTTGAAGAATCACATTCATGTAGGTTGATATCCAGAAAGGTATTTCTTCACATTAAAATGTAATGCAATAAGACTTTGATTAAAATTTAAACACATGTGTAGCAAGCCCATTCAACTACTGTATTATTTATCTGCTCACTGTAATTTAGACACTTGATTCATTATGTAAATTTCTGTGTGAGTATGATTGAGCATATTTCTGCACATCAATTTTCAATCTATTCTCCCATCGGTTGTAATACACGGACAATCAATAATTTATCCATACTTGATTAACTCGCATAAAATATATATGGATTTTTAACACATACACACAATTGGTTTCCCTGTGTGCTTGCTTCCTGAATGCTTGAAGATTTTGCCAATCTTTAACAATAAATTATCTCTATAATTGGTGTTCAGGCTTTTGAATAATCTCAAGTAAATCAAGAATTCTACTAGGAGATTCAGCCTGCATTAAATACTCAGTTAACGCGATACTATTTATTTGAGTCAGATATATGGGAAATTAGCCTCTACACATGATCCGAAATGTAAACATAGATAAATTCAATAGCAGCAAGATTATGCGTATAATTTACACCCTTATTTTACTACATGTCAATTGCAAAACCAGATAGCATTTCAGGTCTTAGATAACGTTGCTTATTTATTTAAAATGTTGGTCAATGTATAAATATTGGATAAAAACTCAAAAGTTACTTCCTTAAGCACTAAACTCTTTACCTTCAATAAATCTTTTTGCAAAATTAGTCAGTTAAAGTACTCACACAACTTTTAAATAAGAACTATTTTTTATTATGTCAGAACAGTTGTCACAAGTGCAGATAGCTATTATATTACTGTGAATCTTTAGACTGTTTCAGTTTCACACTGATTTATATAATTAATTACCCAACAAGTTAGGTTATCTTCACTTGGTATTGATTACTTGAATCTTCCTATTGATGTTTAGGACTGCAAATGATCAGTACTTAATGGCATATGTTCATACCGTGGGTATATGGTATTGAGTTCGAGTCCTAGAGTGAACACCAACTCTGAGATGCAGGCACATCCAGCTGACGAGTCCCAAATAGGACGGGACGTGTGTAAAACTAGATTCCATTGCTATTCATCATCCATTTTTACTTAGAATGCTTGTGAATTAAGACAATATCAAGGCATTACTCACAGTATGCACATATGTCAATAAGAGACTGATCAATTGCATTTCTCAATATTAATGGGAAGATTCAAGTAAACAATACCAAGTGAATTTAAAACTTCACCCCATTACACAAGCAAGTGGCTATCAGGACTCAGTAGCTAAGTGGATAACGCGATGGCCTTTGAAGCAAACGGTACTGGATTCGAGTCCCAGAGTGAACATCAACTCTGAGATGCAGATACATCCAGCTGACGTGTGCCAAATAGAACGAAACGCGTGTTCTGGATTTCACTACTAGCCACCATCCATATTTGCTTATAAAGTTAGGTTATCGCTCAGTATTTCTTTTCATTGAATGTACGAATGACTTTAAGTATGATTGAATCAATAAAACTCAAAAGAATTTCCTTTCTGGTTGATGATATATATATATATATATATATATATATATATATATTGCTCTTTTTTTTCTTATGTATATAGATTGTGATACTTCTTTCATTGTTACATTTATTAATGGGATTTTGTTACTTATCACTCTCTGTTAATTAACTATAAATCGTCACAATTGATTGATCACTGGGTGGTGATCAATGTCATGCTTGTCTAGTCCTTATTAGTGCAGATTGAATGCTATCGATCATGTTGCAATGTGGCCACCAGTCTAGGTGACTCGACACTGCGGGCACTATGTATTGAGATTTAGATGGTGGTTGGAGGGTAGTCACGGCTCGGATAGCTCAGTGGTAACGTCTCTGACTGTGAAGCTGGGTGACACGAGATCGAATCCGCCAGGGAACACCAGTTCCCTCAAGATTACAGGCACACCTTGCTGACGAGTGCCAAGGAGCACGAAACCCGGGTCCAGGGTTTCCTGTTGACTACCTCCAACCACCATCTAAACTATAAATAGCAAACATCTTTGAAAATTCTTTACTTGGCATCATTCAGTTAGTTACAATCATTTTAATTATTTAAATTGTACCTGTGATATACGGCGTTTTATTTAGGTAACTCTGTAACCAAACACACCTCTTGTTACAGTTTACTCTTATGCGCATTATCACAAAACTGGATTGTTCAAACCGAATTAAATGAATCAGGCTCAAAAATATGGTCAAATAATGAAGAACTGAGTAGTTCAATGATAAACAAAGTAAGGACTAACAGAAATCAAAGGAACACTTTAAATTAATATTTTGATTATAGAAATTATCATAGTGAGAAGCTAGAAGAAAATGGGAAGGAATGAGAATAATGCAATGAAACTAAACGTTAAAATTATAGGAATACAATTATGCCATCTATACTGATTTCAAATAATCATTTTGCTTAAAGTTTTCAACCATAGAATAGAACTAGTAGATGAAGACCAACTTCGAAGTCTATAACTGTCTGAGCTACTCAAAATGACAACCGATAGCTTCAGAAACCTATTTCACATACTGTATTGTCCATTCCCTAAATTTCCTTTAGGTTAATTTTATGCCATTTAGGCCTGTGGTAGTTGAGTGCTCCATAGATTATGCCGCTATATGTGTATGTACACTTTTGTGTTGCTAGAATTACCGTGGTAATGAAATGTATATAAATGAAATTATTCACATAATGATAGCCAAATATTATATTTAAAAACAAATAACGAAGGTAAGTTATTGTTAGAGTAATATAAAATCGTTTTTCTGGTGAGATAAACACATCACATTTCATTTAATAAAGTAACAGTGTTTTACCTTATAAATGAGGTACATCAACCTAGTCTTTTCGAGTAAATATACAAACGTATTAAGAAATATAAACAATTATAATATTTTCAGAACGGGTTTTGTGGAGATTTTAGAAATTTTAGTAGTTGAAATAATGAGTGAATCCTGTGAGGTGAGGTCGTAGATGCGAACTGCTGAGGAGTCCCACAATAGGACGAAACGGCCGTCCAATGCTTGCAGGTTTTCTCTTGTGGTCTAGCTTCAATTGACTCATGATTTCAACTATTAAAATTATAATATTTACGAATATCTATGAAGTTGACAGATAATTCTCATTTAAACATTAAAAATTAAAAACACGAAGTTCAATGAAGGGATTTGGTTTTTCAACGAATTTATTATCAAGCTGTACAATTGTTCTTGTTAAAATCCTAATTCTATGAAGAAATGTGAACACGAATAACAAAGATGATGTAATATAGAATATTATAATACTACTTACTTACTTACTCCTGTTACTCCTAATGGAGCATAGGCCGCCAACCAGCATTCTCCAACACACTCTCTCCCACTCTGCCTTCCTTTCCAGTTCTATCCAATTTTTGTTTATTCTTCTCATGTCTGCCTCCATTTCCCGGCGTAATGTGTTCTTTTGATCTTGAGAATTCCATATGAAGGCTTGTCTTGTGACGCAGTTCACTGTTTTCCTCAATGTGTGTCCTATCTACTTCCAGTGCTTCTTCTTGATTTCCTCCTCCACTGGGATCTGATTTGTTCTCTCCTACAATAGGTTGTTTCTGATAGTGTCTGACCAACGGATGCTAAGTATTTTGAGTAGACAACTGTTAATAAGCACTTGTATCTTCTGAATGATGGCTTTTGTAGTTCTTCAAGTATCTGTCCCATACAGTAGAACTGTCTTGACATTTGTATTGACCTTGGTGTTGGTTGACAGTTGTTTTGAGTTCCAGATTTTCTGCAATTCTAAATATACTACTCTTTCTTTACGGATCCGCGCTTTCACATCTGCATCAGACCCACCGTGTTCATTAATGATGCTGCCCAGAAAAATTATAACTCTGCCTGGAGTCCCTCCAGGGGCTACTGCCGGTTTCAAGCCTGGATAAAGGAGGGGGGGTTGGGCATAGGGTTAGTGACCCCATCCCATAGAAAACTAACTCGCTAAAGAAACGCTAACCAGGAAAATTACTAGTTTGATAATAAATTCGTTGAAAAGAGATCCCTTCGGTGAACTTCGTGTTTTCAATCTATGAGACTGTACTTTTAAATATGCCCAATAAACAATGAAGAACTCTATTATATACAACTTACCAAAGAAAATATTTCAATGATATATGAATGATTATTAGTTTTTTTTTTCACTAAATATAATTATTTGATTGAATTTTATTAACTCAATATCTAATAACTTCTATGGTCATTTATAAACTGCGTATATTAAATGGACACATTTTCATGATCCAAATGAATAGGAAGTTTGATTATAAGTACATAAAAATCATTAGATTATTGAACTAAACATTCTAGAATAACACCATTATTATTATTATTATTATTATCAGAAAGAGGGGGGGGTGATTCTGTGGAGATTATATTAATTCAATAAGTATTCATTTTCTAAGTGCATATTTATTTATCTCCCTATAAGATGATTTTCATGGGTTAATTTTCATGTGATGACTTGTACAATATACAATCTTAATCATGATAAAAATCATAAATAATTCATTTATGAAATTGTTGATTACTGTTGTGAATTCTATAGGAAATTGTAAACTTTGTATTGACATAATAATAAGTTTGATTATTGAAGATGTTATTTGATTAAACTTGAAATCAATATCAATGACACAGTAGCCCTCGCCCTAAAAAATAATGCTCTAGTTCGGTCGAGGGTGGGGAGAGTCCACTCTGTCATTTGAAATGCTCTCACATGGCCACGCGTATACAACCACTGACAGGAAAGTTTTACTCACTACCTTCTTGTGATGGGGGTGTTGTTCGCGTAACTGAGAGAACTGACAGTGAATATCCAGGGCCTTAACCGGGTCGGTTGTATGCGGATGATTCACATAGGGGAGTTGAAAAACCTTGATCCCAAACCAATGGTGTACATGAGGTCCAGAATCTTGAGGGAAAAATGGCGTGTGAACCTATTGTTGGTCAACGGTTACCATGGAACTTACCTCCGTAACGTTGCTCCACTGTTTATGGATTAGACCTTCAGGTCAAGAGTTTGGTGTGACCTCCTAAGAAAACCACCTGTTTCGTTGTTGACACCTGAGCAGTACTCCAGCCTTGAAACAAATGTAATGATGAAGTGTGGTGTATATATATTTGGTGCCTCCTTGCACTGATGTCCATGTGTTTAGATAAACAAATAAACAAATAGCCTGAATTCATTATGTTTCATGGTTTCTCGTCAGCTGCTTACAACCAAATATGTATTAGAATTTTACATTGAGGTTAAAAATAGTACGGAACAATTGACATAAGTGAACATAAAGAATTGCAATGAAGAAAATTATCAATAATAACTATATTCATACGTATGTGCAAGAACAGTTGAGAGGTTATTTGATATTGGGATCAAGGAAACATTAGTGATGAGTGATGTAATAGTTGAGTAAAGTTTAGAGACATAAGATGAATTACGTGAAAATTTGAGTGATAATGAAGGGCTTACATACGATTCATGGAATTACTACCCTGGTAATTCAATTTTTTTAGTCATTAGTTTTATTTTGTTATATTTCTCTTCAATCACCGAATTCTCAAACCAACCTTTCACTCATACATTTTCACTCACTTGATTCTCTTAAATTATGTGAACCCTTCAAATCCTATTCATTTGTTACGTAACCCATCTCCACAATTTTTTTAATTCTATTAATCTTATGTAAACCCTTCATTACCTCTCAAATTTTCACATAATTTATCTTATGTCCCTAAACTTCACTCAACTATTACATCACCCATCCTTAATGTTTCCTTGATTCTAATACCAAATAACCACGAAATATAATGAATTGATATTAAGTTTTTGATTGAGGTCATGAATCGGTTGATGTTAGACACTAACACCATTAGATGCCGGTTCAGTGGTCCAGCAAGTTAGGTGTTCGCGCGCGAGACTGAAGGTTCTGGGTTCGAATCTCGTGAGTGGGACCGTGGATGCTTGCTGCTGAGGTGTCCTACAATAGGACGGAACGGCCGTTCAGTGCTCCCAAGTTTTCAATGGTGATCTAACATCAATTGGTTCATGATCTCAATCAAAAAGTTAATAATCTCCACAACCTTTATATTGAGAATTTATATTATTCTGCATCAATGTTTGTTTCGGCTTTATTTAAATTCATAAAGGGAACTCAGTCCTACAGGAGGTCGGTCGCGGCCCGGATAACCCAGTGGTGACGTCTCTGGTTGTGAAGCTGGGTGACATGGGATCGAATCCGTCGGAGAGCACCAGTTCCTTCAAGATCAAAGATGAACCTTGCTGACGAGTGCCAAGTAGCACGAAACCTAGGTTCAGGGTTTCGTGTTGACTGCCTTCAACCACCATCTTATCACAATATAGTGACGCGATGTCGAGTCACCTAGACTAGTGGCCACATTGAAACTTGGTCGATAAGATTCGATCTTCACTAAGAAGGACTTGACACACATGACATTGATCACCACCCAGTGATCAATCAATTGCGAACTATTTGCATGAAATCAATAACCAATGACACAGTTACACTGATGATTTATTTTTTATATTTAACTATTTTATTTTAACATAATGAAATATCTTAACAGCCATGATTACCATTTCACTAACTTAGTAACATAGATTGTTTCAAAGGTACATTTAATTCTTTCAACAATCTCTGTGTAAAAAAAAGTATTTTTATTTATTTGTTTCACAATTAACTTTATAAAATGTAGATTCTTCATTATTTAACTAGTGAAAAACAACTATTTGTTTTCATCTTAACTACTATCAATAACATTGAGATTAAGTTAACAATTTGCTAGAAACTGATGAATTCATCATAATAATCTAGTGCTTTTTTTTATAAAAAAAACTGTTGTCTGTATTGAACAATGTGAACATTTTGTTATTCTAAATTTGCATATAATTTAAATTGACTTGGTATTGTTTACTTGAATCTTCTCATTAATGTTTAGGACTGTAATTGATTAATCTCTTATTGGCATATGTGCATATTTTATGGATTGCCTCGATATTGCCTTAATTCACAAGTACTCTCAGCAAAGATGGATGGTGGCTAGCAGTGAAATCCAGGATGTGTGTTTCGTCTTATTTGTGACTCGTCAGCTGTATGTATTTCAGATTGAACATCAACTCTGCGATTCAGGCACATCCAGCCGACGAGTTACAAATACGACGAAACGTGCGTCTTGGATTCCACTGCTAGTCATTATCTGTTTCGGCCTATAATTACATATATTTGTTACTGGTTTCAACAAATTTACATTTATATTTGTTTTCTATCAATGTCCAGTTTTGATGTGACTCTTTTGTACATACAGTTAATCAATTATTCACTTTTTCTCCCTTCTATTTAACTCTTTCGATAGATCCGTCTGTATAGATATTGAACTAAACATTATAATACATATTAAAACATACTATTTATAGTATTTGTCAGACCAACATTGTTAAAACTATTGCGTTATGGTTCTGGCTAAGTTCCACAATATTGGTAGTAGCGAGAGACTAAATAAACCGAAAATAAGCCTATTCAAAATAAAGCATGTTTATAATGTTTACTTTATATATACTATACAAATATCACTCATTCAAGTTATCTTAAGGAGAATTGTCTTTTTACTTAATCTCATTTCTTCTGACGTCTTTGTATCCCACTAAGCTCAGTCTAGTTTGAAAAGAGAAACGGGAATTGTCTATCGACGACGACGACGACGACGATGATGATGATGATGATGATGATGATAATAATAATAATAATAATAATAATAATAATAATAATAATAATAATAATATAACACAGTGAATCCATTCAGTATATTAAATCATTAATTGACTTCAGATTTTTTCAACGAATAAAACGAATAAATCAACAACATTATGCAAAATAATATTCCCCATTGGTATTGACGATTTGTATTATGGATAATTTATTTTTGCGTAATTAAACTATTTTAGATTGATTTAAATAGGTTTTGCATAAATAAAATGTAGTTCACTGAGTATTAATTATACTACATACATAGAGAATTATTTACTTACCTTCAGCAATATTATCTGAATGGTTCATATACATTTTTTTAACGCATAGATTTTTTTCTCAAAATATGACGATAAACTTAATTACATGAGTACTCAGTTACAAAATATTTCCAGGCATTAGACAGTTCAAATTGTTGCTATGTATTGTTATTTTATTAGGTATTTTATGAAGAAATATGGAATTTCTGTTATGATATCTATTACGAATAAAATTTTCATTCAGTTTGAACATTCACGGGTAGTAACCTATCAATCTCATTATAATAGCTAGTTGTAGTAACTAAATCTCTATTTAATTTTTTCAATACGTTGTTTGTTTTCTTCGTAATGGTGTACGAGAGTTTATTTATCCGTTCCTTTCCTTGTAGAGAGACTAATCCGTACCATCAAGATACTCGAAATACGATTTCATGTAGTTATGGACTTGTAGCGGTAAATAAATCCCCAAAATAAATAGCTCTGTAAGTTTTCGACATTGGATGCTGACCAGATTAGTTTTAGTGGACTCATCTAGCTGAAGGCGTTCGGTCATGCATCCGCACCAGATCACGTGTGGAACGCCGTGCTCAACTGCTACTGCAATCGTTAGCGAGATTAGATCAGATAATTCCGATATATTGGCAATCGTCAAATACAACTTCTGATCTCCTCGACTCTGCCTTTTGATTTCTCTTGGTGGTTACGAGTTATATTAGAAGGTGTTACTGGTAAAAGTGTTGTCAAACACTGAATATCTGTGCCATCTTCATTGGTGGGACCGACGTGATCTGGTACACCTAATTGCAACTATGAGTCTGTTCCTTTTTGGGATTTTTATATATTATTGCCTTATTTTTTATTTTTTATAAATTGTGATATTTTTTCTCGTGTTTTTTCTTGGATATATATATATATATATATATATATATATATATATATATATATATATATATATTTTCCCTCGTTCATTATCGTACTTCATATTTCATCATGACTGAACAGACACCTAAAGTACTCAAGCTTAAGACCTTGTCCCCACCTTCGTTTCAACTGATGCCTTTCTGGCCCGACAACATCGAAGCCTGGTTTTGCTACGCAGAAGCCGACTTCTCCGAGCACGGCGTGATCGACACACGTGCACAATTCCTCGCAGTAGTCAAGGCACTACCGCGCGAATTCAACAGGTACGTAACACCT